TCCCAGGTGTCCTAGAGGTTATTAAGTTGGAAGTATCTGCATAGATGGTATTCATGATGAATTAAATCACAGGACTCACATCTTTAAGTATGACGTTATAATGTCAATTTAAACTATAAATAATAAAGGGGTGAAAATTTACAGCCTCAGGATAACATTAAAACTGGTGTACTCTGAAAAACTTCCATGCTGGGGTTAATAAGATTATATCATGTCAGTTTCCTTGTTTGATTTTGTACAAGGTTTTATGAGATGTTATCATTGGTGGATATTGGGTGAGGTGCACACAGAATAGTCTTTTTGCCATTCCATGTGTCTATTAAACTATTCTGAAGTAGAAGTTTTATCAATAGTTTTAAAATATCAGAATGATATTTATAATGAGATAATGAGGCATACCAAAGGGAAAACTTCCTGGAGTGGGACTCTGTAGACTTTCACTGAACTGTTTAATTTCATTTGGATGCAGTACAGAATGTGTGCTGTTAATAGATTAGAATGCAAGAGAATGAAGTTAGGGATTTCACAGATTGTTCCTTGTCTTGTAGGTTCCTAGCTTAGTTTTCATTTGTCACTTTCCTATTTTTTCAGATGTGACTTTCCAGCCCACACCTGCTCTGACATACCGTACCACAGGGGGAATTCTGGATTTTTATGTGTTCTTGGGGCCAACTCCAGAACTTGTCACTCAACAGTACATAGAGGTAGGTTGAAATTCTACTGTTTATCAAGCATTTATATGGCACATTCCATGTTCCCAAATACTCATTCATTATTAAAACTCACTCTGACAAGTAGAATTGAAGGTTTTTCTTAGAACCAGGCATATTATATAATAAGAAGCTATAAGTACCTTCCAATAATCATTAAATTAGAGCCTACTTATTCCACATTAGGTAAAGTAGACACTGCACCTGAAGTAATGCTGAGCCTAGTGGTGTGAAGTGGTGATGGAGAGGATAAGATCCTAGTGCTGATAGTTGTGGTAGTGGTATTGGTAAGAGTGGTTGTGGAATGTTTATGGTGGAAAAATGACCATATGTGTGAGGATTGTAGTAGTGGTGCTTAAGGTACTAATGATGGTAAGGGTAATGGTGGGAGTATTCGAGGTAGGAGTGGTGGTGATAGAGATGTTAACAGTGGTAATGGTCATCTGCTGTTGGTTAAAGTGGTGGGGATGGTAAGTTATGAGCATGTTGGGTATGTTGATGATGGTGATTGTGTGGTGATAGGGAAGATGATGGGGTGAAAATGCTGGGGACTGTGTGGGTGATGGTGATGGGGTGATGATAGTGAAGATGCGGGACTGATATGGTGGTAATGGAGGTAATATATGGGACTGTTGAAGACAGTAGTCATTTTTGTGATAATAAAAACAAATTCTGTCACTTATCAAACTCTTACTGCATTTTAGAGTATTTACATGTATTAAGTCATTAAGTCCTCATCAAAACAGCATGGGGCAGACATTACAATTATTTTTAATTTACCAGTGAAGGATTGAAACATGAAGATATTACTTAATTTTGTTCAAGGACACAGAACCAGGAGGACATGAGCCTGTGTGTTAACCAGGCACTTTCCCTCTGGGATCTGTTCTCTTCAGCAATAACCTAGACCACCTCTAGGAATGAGAGTAAATTTAGATTGTACAGAATTCCAAGAGAATGAACTTTAGTCTAGAAAGAAACTTTCTCAAGGTATCCCAGTAGTTTTATATCTGCTGAGTTTTTCTCTGGATTTGAATATGTTGATTGTCTATCTTGGGGCACTAAAAATATTCTTATTATTTGGTGTACAACTTCATTTGAGTCAGTCCTGTAAGGAATAATATTTCTGTCCGTATTCTAGGTGATTGGCCGACCCGTGATGGTACCTTACTGGTCCCTGGGGTTCCAGCTGTGTCGCTATGGATATGAGAATGATTCTGAGATTTCCAGCTTGTATGATGAGATGGTGGCTGCCCAGATCCCCTATGTATGTCTCAGTATTGGTGCACTGGCTCTATGAGCTCATAGCCAACTCAGGCTTCTCTGTGTCTGGATTTATTTGTTGGGTTTTTGTGGGGTTCAGCAAAAGCACAAAAGTTTCTTTCTGACATGATGAAACACTGATTTCCATCCTGACAATAATACAAGTGGGGCCTTGCTCCCATATTATAGCATTTTAGACTCGGTGACTCAGAATGAGAAGATAGGGCAGGGTCCAGAACCTTTCTACTATACTATGATTTCTTCCATTTAATTTTATTGATTTTTTAGACATTTGGTCTAAAAAGTCCTTGGTACCATGAGATGAACGTTCCCTCAAGAATAATAGTGGTAATTTTTTTTTAAAAAGTAGCCAAAATTCAATGATTATGTATTCATGAATTCCAATATTTTTGTACTGCAAACATTATTTTATCAGCCCTGAGCTACTCCCTGGCTGAATATAGGACTTCTATATATGTTTTCAAAGGAAATATACATGGTAATAAACTCTTATCATTTATTTGAGGAGAAGCAGTATTGAATAATTATAACTGATCCTGCAGAGCAGTTTCAAATTGAATTTTATTCTACTCATTGTTCAATTATTAACAATTGTTCCATTAATGGAAAGTACATCATGCAATGTACCACATTCTTATAAGAAAACTCTTTCTAATTACCTCTGGGATTGAATGCCTACAGTAATTATGAGATTTGTTTTTATTTTTTCTTTTTCTTATTTTGTAGCCAGCTAACCATTCAGATTGTATTACAACTGAGTAGCTAACTTTTCTTCTTCTGAATATGAACTGTTTTTTATCAGGGGCAACACTGGGGAAGGTAAATGCAATCAATTCTTATGATGGCCATTAACAAAGTAATTTCTCTCTAAGTGATTTTACATGTTCTCACAATAGCCATTAAATAGAGGCTTTATCATCCCATTTTTACTGATTTATATTATATCTCTATTTTGAGTAAAAGTTTGAAAAATTAGATGAATTTTCTAGTTTCCAT